AGCAGTGGTATCACTAATTTAGAAATCAAGCATATTTACCAAATTTCATAAGGAATAATCCTTTCTTCTTCATAATATTATGAAAAAAAAAAACTTCAAGAAATATTTAGCTGAATGAATTAAAGTAAATGAATGGTATCTGAGATATGCAAATAAAATAACTTGCCATATGAATTACTTTTAGTTTTTAATATTTCAGGCAATACAACAACTATTTGTGGGATAAAAGCCATGAAATTGGATATAATCAGCTGTGACGCAATAGCAATAAATTCTCGACTGTAGTGATTGTCTTTGCGGAAGAATACAGCAGCCAGAAGTATGTTGTTAATAATACCGTACAGCAACAAGACAGTGAAAAGTAGAATTGCTATGTATTTAATAATTTTATGATTATCATCTCTTATGTCATTCATATCTGTCGTATTTTCCAGACAAATTGAAGGTAATATCAGCAATAATACAATCATATAGTATAAACAAACCCCCATTTCGTCAAGTGATTTTCGTTTCCACTATAAATTTCAACAAGATGGAAAGGAAAAAATTCAATTGGAATGCCTGAAATACAAATACAAAGTGCTAAAAACTGCGAGTTTAAATTCCGAATCAGTAAATATGGTCGATGACCCATTTTTATGCAACTTTTTAACAACTGACATGGAAACTATTCATCATAACAAAATCACTGCTTACGTCATTGCTTACAAACGTATGATCAAATGTTTGACCAATCTTTGCTGAGCTTAATTTGCAATTCACAAATTAACTTCAATCCTCAGCTAATTTAGTTTGTATGGTAATTTATTTTCTTTGTTACGTAAGTCTGAAGCAATTATGACTTTGCAAAGCAAAACAAATTGAAAAACAATTAGCTGATATACGTTTGAAAGAAAATTACTGCACAATTAATATTGAATTAACCAACTTATAATGCTACCTCTAAATTCTACTAGCAATCTCTTCATCACAGAACTTACAACGGAACTCTTTTGCCCGCTTTTACTAATCATTTACATCATTTTGAGGATGCATCTAAGAAGCAATATATAGGTTTATTTACAAATGCTTAATGAGGAAATAATCTCTCAAGAACCTCTTGGCTTCATTAAATTGTAGCCTTCATTACGCCTACTCTTTTAACAACAGTAGAAAATCCATCAAATTTGATGTATCTTTGATTTAGAGAGCTTACACAAATATTTTAAAAAATTCATTCATAAAAATTTTATGAAAACAAATCAAAATTTAGCAATTCGATGTAAACGGATCTTAAACTTATCTCTTTTGAAATTGCAGTGAACATTAATTAGTCAGCTTGAATGAAAACTGCAAGTAATAAATTGAACAAAGAAATTAATTTCATTTCATTTCAACTTTGATGCAATTAAATTACTTTAAATCACAAATTATATACGGAAGATTAATAATCAGCTATAATGAGGTAATTGATATATTGATATAATCTTTATTTATGTTAGCCAATATTTGTCTCTTGGCCCCAGGAATCATTTCGAATCAATTGATTCTTTGTAGCTCTGAATATAAAAGATTTTAACATGACGAACTTTACCTCTTGTAAAATTGAAATACTCACAGAATAAGCAAAGGATTATTCCGTTAGTTGCTATGTTCGATAGTATGTGTGCATTGCTTCGTTAATGCAAATTTGTTGGCGGAGATTAAGAAAAGTAATGCATTATTTTACATTTTAAATTGAAGGAATCAAAGGAATCTTTTGTAGAAAGTTGACCTTGCTGCTAAAATAATTTATAATGATTATCAAAAGTGTCTTATTGAAGGGATATGTTAGGCGGATTTAACAGAATTATGCAGTGAAACTGATTGTTTGCTTCTGAGAGACTTATACAACAAAGAAAATAAATTACATACATATTAAATTAGCTAAAGATTGAAACTAATTCATAAGTTTAAAAATATCCAAGCATTTGGTCCGACGGAGCAAACGATAATATTAGTAGTATTGTTAATAACAATTTCCATGAGAGTTGTGTAAGAAATGGAACCTTATTTTGCGATCAAATTACAATTACATTTCAAACATCAGTGCACTGTCATCTGTCATCATCATCGACCATATTTACTGATTCGGAATTTAAACTCACAGTTTTTAGCACCTTGTATTTGTATTTCAGGCATTCCAATTGAAATTTTTCCTTTCCATCTTGTTGAAATTTATAGTGGAAACGAAAATCACTTGACGAAATGGGGGTTTGTTTATACTATATGATTGTATTATTGCTGATATTACCTTCAATTTGTCTGGAAAATACGACAGATATGAATGACATAAGAGATGATAATCATAAAATTATTAAATACATAGCAATTCTACTTTTCACTCTCTTGTTGCTGTACGGTATTATTAGCAACATACTTCTGGCTGCTGTATTCTTCCGCAAAGACAATCACTACAGTCGAGAATTTATTGCTATTGCGTCACAGCTGATTATATCCAATTTCATGGCTTTTATCCCACAAATAGTTGTTGTATTGCCTGAAATATTAAAAACTAAAAGTAATTCATATGGCAAGTTATTTTATTTGCATATCTCAGATACCATTCATTTACTTTAATTCATTCAGCTAAATATTTCTTGAAGTTTTTTTTTCATAATATTATGAAGAAGAAAGGATTATTCCTTATGAAATTTGGTAAATATGCTTGATTTCTAAATTAGTGATACCACTGCTATAGTTTTCGTATTACATAAATTATGTCGAATGACTTCAAATTCAATTTTTATTTAAAAATTTGGTACAATATATGAAAATTTGTGCCTTATAGAGCTTTAAGCAAAGAATCTTTTGTGAGAAACATTTTCAAAGTTTGCTAGTCACGACAGAGAAGAATTTTTTCATTAGATATATAATTGGTTTTCAGAAACAACATGGATCAATCGTACATTCTCAACTTTTGCCACTTTCCCATTCTTTTCCATACTTAATTTTTCATTTCTGTTGACAATGAATCGCTTTGTGGCACTAATTTTACCAAAATACTACTCTATTTTCCGGTCAGCCAAGCTGTACATTTTAATCTTTCTCGTGTGGTTGTCAACTTTTGGTATGACTCATTGATACTTCTTACATTTTCAAAAGAACTTCCGAACTTCTGTTTAAATAACTTATAGAAGACGTCCAAGCAGAGATTCCAGGATGACATACTATCATCGTTCTAGAACACGTCGACTTATAATTTTTTTTCTTGTTTCGTTATCACATATGAGTTATGTAGAGTGATCTCCAGTAGTGAACTCAACTTATATCAGAACCAGGAATTGAGATTTTGGAACGGTAATTTTTAAACTTGCGCTTTATGACACTTTAAATTTAAATTAAATTACGGTGACATCTTACAAACTTGCCAGCAGCTTAATTCAGTCCAAATTTTTAGTGTTCACATGTGCCGATTTTTATTTTTGCACCACAGAATTCCTTGCTTGGAAGTTAAGCTGGGAGGGTGATTGTGAAAAATCAAATGGAATAGCAAAGACTTGGTGGAGGTATTCATCATGATGTCATTTGATTCATTTTTTTGACAAGTACTCCAAATAATAGCTTTAAAGATTCAGTGCTAACTAAAATTTTTCTTTCTATTCTTTACCGTTTCAGTAAGTTTTAATTGTGCTTGAAATAATGTCTGTTTTCATATTTAGAATACGCTTTTTTTGGGCACTATTTATACCTAATGCAATGTTTGTCATATATCTTACGATATTCTACAGTATACGCAGTAGGCGTCAAAGTATGTTTCATTAAATATTTCCTTTATTCTTTATAAATAAGATCTACCGCATATCTTTTCGAAACACTGCCGTAAAATTTATTAAATTCTTATGTCTTTTCTTTCATTATTAAATTAATAAATATGTTTAGGAATAACAATATTGTGTAATGGACATGGAACAATGAAAAATCATCATTATGAATGGTCGGTGTTGTTTCAAGCAGCATGGAATTGTGGTATATTAGAAACTGGAAATATTGTTTTTAATTTTCTACCACCAGTTTTGATCAAGATTTTCGGTGAAGCAGCTCGTATTCCATCAAAGATTTTCATAAATTGTTGTTTCCTTTTCATTTACGCCATATTGCCTACTGTTCATTTTGTTTACAATACGGAAGCACGTGATATCACAAAGCATCATTTATATCATTTGTTGCATTTGAGAATTGATGCATTGAAAAGAACAAAGCCATTATTCAAGGTGTTAGGAAACATCCCGAAATGTGATGGGTAGAAGTGACCTGAAGCATAAATTCATATTTTTCAAATATTTTTGGCATTCTTTGATAAGTTCTGCATGTATTATTTTAAGCTTCAAATTATTTACCATTTTTTATGTATTTCTATTTTCTTTTAAGCTAATTGTTTCCAGCTAATTTGTATCTTTTCTTTCTTCAACTTATTTGTTTTCCAATTTATTTTGCTTTGTATCAAAAACGAAGAAAATAAATTGCCATGCATGCTAAATTAGTTGAAGATTGAATTTAATTTACAAATCACAAATTAAGCTCAGAAAAGATTAATCCAAGAATTTGATCCTATATTTACAAGCAATGACGATAGTAGTGACGTTATTACTGGCAGTTTCCATAGTAATCGCAATTGCACGGATGAGCTATACGATAAAACTTGCTTAGCTTAATTCAGTTCAGTTTCAATGAAATGAACTTGTATGATCATTTGTATATGTTGAGTTGGCAGAATTTTTCTGATTTCTGTTCAATCTCAGCAATAAATGCTTTTCAAAACAGTTCGAACAGAGAAATCATTGAAATAGATCAAATGATGATTGAACTTTTTGGACTACTTTTATACTTCATAACTATAACGATGATAGCACGCACTCATTATTTAAATAAAGTCATTTAAGTACACGTTCCAGTTCCTTTTTTTTTAACAATGATAGTTTCAGATGTCCACTATAAAGACTGTTTTAATGATTTCATCTTTTGACACCATCCATCATTTGTTATCCCTTCCATCGGAATGAAATTTCCACCCAAATAATCCCAATATCGACAATTTCATAATTGTGTCTTATTCTGGTTATGTCGTCCTGATCCACTGTTCCCTCAGATGATACTCTCAACCAAACAGCAACAAAATCATGTAGCTAAAAAGAATCTCTCATAAATCCTCGACAACTTATCATGCAGTGATAAGAGATATAAACTATAGTGATTTCTTCAGCGATTTTCACAAGACTTCTTGTTAATTTTGTAAAAGTAGCAAATTTTTTCGACAATTTTGTCAGTCCGAAATAGAAAGTACATCAAAATTGCTGCGAAATATCTGTGACCATGAACTAGAACATGCTGTTTATTTCTTGGTTCTGTGAAGCAATATTAAAAAAAATTTTTTTACTTTAAGCCTAGTAGAAAGGAATTCATGTTTCAGAGATTCTTCGACAAAGCATGAGAAGGTGCAATGTCGGAAAAACTAAATTACAGTAATCTGTCGAAGTCTGTATTAAATCCATAAGACTAGAAATTGTCTTAATTGAATATTCCTCAAATTAACATAAAACTGTTTTAATTTTATAAGAATTCATTTATTCAACACTCATCTTCCAAGTGTAGCTTAACTCATTGCATTGTTTAGAATGTTACACTCTGTCAACAAAGAATATTTACATTGCTTAATGTGCTGAAAATTTTCAACCTCTGCTGAAAGGTTGTCAGTCTCTTGCTAAAGCCTATTTTTTTTTTCTTTTTTTAAATTGTTTGATCGCAGTGTCGAAATATTGTAAAAATCCTCCAATCTAATAGTTACTCTGAGCAAACGAAAAGCCAATTTTACAATACAACGAGTAAAGGTCATCCAATAGTGACAGCTCTTTATTCACCGTAATCATAGTCTTCGTTATAATTCAGTGTCCACTACATAAAGAGTTAATTAACCCACTGTCTGGATAGGTTTTCAGGACAACAAGCTTTAACTAAGCTAATCTCGCTTCACTTAGTTTTCTTCATCCTTTATTTTCAAATTTGATTATTTCTTCCGCTTTATTCTATACTCTACGAAATTATCAGTATACAGTGGCGAACCGAAATATTGGAGACTGTCATCAATTTCTTTCTGGTAGCAACAAATACTAAAAGGATTGTTTCTGGCTCTTTGGTTCTTTTCTTCTCAACATCTCAAACTTGAGTAATTAAACACTTATTCTGATAGATAGAATGGGATCTGATAGATAGAATGGTTAATAAAAACAATGAACTCAGCAATCACAATTTCAGTGCTACAATTTTAATGACATCAGTAATAAAAGGAAAGCTCAGACTACCATTTACCATCCCACCAACTGACCCACCACCCTAAATGACTTCACAATATGAATTTGATGGGTAGCACCACCATATACACTTTAACGAGTTGCAAGGCCATAGAGCCGTTGTTATACACGAAATTGTGCCTTCAGAACACGCACAATGGTACGGTACTTTCTATTAGCGTAGTGTAAAATAATGAAACATTATGTATGTGACTTGAATCAACGAATGTGTCTCACTTTAACAAAACAGATTACTGTTTCTTTGTTTCCACAGCGACATCAGCGACAGATATTGCATCTAAGCCTCCAGGAGCGTTCGCTAGTGGATGCAAATTTCCCACAGTGCGTTTCAACTGTGCGACGTCCCCATGATAGCGAATCAACAAAGTTCATCTTTTCCTTCGATTAGTTTTCGACTCATTTTTCAGAAATTGCTAGGAGCTTCCAGTAATATTGTTTTCCCAATATTGATTGATTTATTTATTGCGTTTTTTTTTTCTTAATTCTTGCATAACTTTTCTTGCCATGTATTTTACAGGGTTGTAATTTTTTCCCAAATACTTAGGTAACTATTGATCAATGTGTTATTGTTCTCATATTTTCCAGCGAACTCTTCACATCATTATAGCCAGACTACAGGAAATCTCCTGGAGGTTAATGAGGTTTTTCTTTTCTGTAAAGTTATCAGCCATGTCTTAAACCTCAGCCATGTCTTAAACTTACTGCAACCATTCTTTCATAAATATCTACTTACCACGCTCCTGGGGTGATGAATTATCACTTTAGTTGGTCTAGTTTTTGATTGATAATTTCTTCTTGGCGCTACGGACACTACAAATTTTGGAGTCACCTCTGGCTTACAAATCTCCTGAACCCTTGCATGCGAGTCTCAGCAGTTATTTCCATGTGAATGGTTCTTGATTAGGCATGCCGAAACATGACATCTTTAACTTTTTTTTTCAATTATTGTAATACTTATTATCTAGATTCTAAAAGGCTTCTTTATCCAGTGTATTACACAGACATAAAAGGCACTGATTTCCATTTTCGTCTTGATACATTTCCGGATATGCTAATAATATCTATTTCTATATTTACTACAACCTAACTGGATTTGTTGGTTATTACTTCAAGTTGGTCAAGTTGCGTTCGCTCTCCACATTCAAAAATCTCCAATTATTCTCGTTCTCATGGATTAATTAGCATCATTTCCCTACACTAATTCTTCATCTTTCTGTTCGATGGGACTTTCTTAAGTATAGCTTTCATAATCTTAAATCTGTCAGTCTTTTTAGTCTCACCGCTACTGTTGAGTACTTTTGACAGTTGTCGTAAAAAACGATACATTTAAATTGCGTTCAAATTATAATACCTTTGATAAATGTCATTGTCCAAATAATTTCGCATTTGTAACTAATCATGTCTAGATCATTTAAGCCATTATGCTAATTCTTTTTCCTCACACAACAAAAACCCTTTGTTAGTAGAAACCCTTCGTTAGCAAACCCTTTGTTAGCAAAACCCTTTATTAGCAGTCTTTGTTTCACATCAGTTAAATATCCTCTGCCAGATATCTGGTCTTTGGTCAGTTCGGTTCTGCATATAAACAATCGTCCTCCATACGGTTATTCATTCTGCATTTTGGGGTGGTTTTGATATCATTTTAATGTTTTATAATTATATCTTTCGTTACGCATTGTTATAATATTGATTTGTCGGTTTAATTACGCAAGTTTGAGGCAAAATAAACTAACTAAGATAAATCGGTAGTAGTAATGAACAATATCAGTAATGGAAATAACTAACAGCTTTAGCGTTGCAAGCAATGTCGCTGTCACATGGTATACTGAAGAATGTGCGTAATTGCATTAAAGTCGTTTGCGATTCTTTGTTTGCGGTTTGCTACAAATTTTATTGCTGAGGATTTTGCTGATGTTATCTCAGTTGTCGACTGAAGGGTACTTATAATAAATCGTTTCCTCATACCTGGTACATTTGATGAAGTGGTGTTTATCGAGCATTATTCATTATTCGCATCGAAAAAGAAACCTTAAAAAATTGTAAAAGCAAGGAAGAAAGTTGTTCTCGTATGATCATAATAATAACAATAATAATATGTATTTACTGAAATGAAGCATATCTCTTAATAAAATAATTTTTTTTTTGCAGTACTGGGATTATTTATAAAAAATATAAAAAAAATTGATGAATGCATGAAATATTGCTATTATGTAAAGTGGCGACAAGTTATAAAACAAAGAACATCCAAGCTTTTTACATTTTTTGTTTAAATTTTGGAAAATATGTTTGAAAGTGCACAACATGGCCTTAAAATACTCAGTTTTTTTCATATTTCCATTTGAATTTAATGGAAGTATTTTATTACAGAAAATTATGAAATTGCACAAAATAGCTGTGTCTGTAAAATATTTCTACCATTTCGTAGTCCATTATTATTTATGTACAAATTATTTATATCGGTATTTATATCCTAATGTATTCATTGTTCTTGTTTTCAGAATGCAATTCTACCAATATATACATTGAATTATGCTACAGAAATTCCCATTGCAAATTTCAGCGATAAGTAATTATTTTAAAAACACTCAACTAAATTATTAATATGAGTGTGCCAGTTCTACCTGAAAAGAGAGTGGAAAAATAAGACGACAGCTACGTCGTTATGATTCCTTGATATAAAAACACCCGGAAACCTAAGTAAGTTCTTGGACGATAGGTATTCGCAAAATATAAGAAAAAGACATGCTAAAGATGTCGCCTAATTTAACAGTTATAAAATTTAAAAGAAAATTGTTTCGATTTTAATTCATTTATCATATTCGAATAATTATGGAAAGCCATTTTTTTCAATAATTATACTTCCTAATAGCAACAAAGTCTGACAGATTGTTTCGGTCTCTCTGATTCTTCTCAACATCTCAAACTTGAGTAATTAAACACTTATTCTGATAGATAGAATGGGATCTGATAGATAGAATGGTTAATAAAAACAATGAACTCAGCAATCACAATTTCAGTGCTACAATTTTAATGACATCAGTAATAAAAAGGAAAGCTCAGACTACCATTTACCATCCCACCAACTGACCCACCACCCTAAATGACTTCACAATATGAATTTGATGGGTAGCACCACCATATACACTTTAACGAGTTGCAAGGCCATAGAGCCGTTGTTATACACGAAATTGCGTCTTCAGAACACGCACAATGGTACGGTACTTTCTATTAGCGTAGTGTAAAATAATGAAACATTATGTATGTGACTTGAATCAACGAATGTGTCTCACTTTAACAAAACAGATTACTGTTTCTTTGTTTCCACAGCGACACCAGCGACAGACAAATCGGCAGTTCATCTCCGAGATATTCCAGATACCCACAAAATGAATTACTTGTGTCTCAGATGAAGTGTTTTACTAACCACAGCTGGTTATGACATCAGAAAGAACTATAGTTGCAAGATTGTCGCATATGTCATAAGATTTCAAAAATCAAATGTATTTTTTTTTTTTTTTATAAGGAACTTTACAGTGAACTGTACTCGGTCAAAAATCATTGATGTCGTAAAACTCGAAATAAGTTTTGCAAGCCTCTAAATAACTTACAAAATACATTACATAAAATTGGAACACACTTGTAAAATTAAAGGTTGCCTTATTTCGTGCAGGAAACCATTTATCTCGTATTCATCTTTCAAATAGATTTGTTTACACGGTATCAGCCTCTTATACGGATGAAATGTCAAGGAACACATTTACAAATGAGTGGCCAAAATTGGTTAAGGAGTTATTTCGATTCACTATTATCTTAAATGAAACAAAAATTCACGTTTTCAGTGATAAAGCAAATACAACATGGCTGCAACATTACATACGCAAGAGTGAAGGAAACATTTTTGACGAAACTTGGCATTGTAATGATAATACCCTGATAAGAATTACTCCAAATAAGAGCTGTTCAGTTTGTAGTAAAACAACTAGAACACTTCGTCAGATTGTCAGCGTTATATTTATACAAAATTATTTCCGACTGTCACGAATTTCGAATCGTGAACCTCAAATTAAGCAAAATTGTTAATAAATATTAACAGTATTAAGAACCATTAAAGGTAACCGCTCAAATTCCTATCCAAGAAATAAAATTTACTAACAGAAAACGTTTTAGTAAACAGTTAAGATTCGTGGGGACTTTTCAGAATCATAAAATTGGCAACGAAACAAAACTTATCATGGACACAGCTGCCGCGAATTTCAATATCGCGAAACTTCAAATAAAATAATTAAATTTATAACAAATTTAATCATTCAAATTGTAAATAATCGTTAGCAATGCTATAAATCATTTAAGGAATTTTAGGTTCCTCAGCTGTAATGCATTTCCTTTTTTATCTTGATCTAAACAAAAATTCACATCTTAATCCCTCATTACAATCCTTATACTTGTCACGTATGCAAATGAACATCTGAAGTAATGTCTGCTGTAATCCATTGTAATTCTGTTGTAAAGCACTCCCAACTTTTAGCATACATAAACCTAATACTAAATGAGAACCTTCTTCTGAAGGAGGAATCTCTATGATGATTATCTTCTTCTTCTTGAAGGGCTGCTAACTTCTGGGACAAATAGGGGTTTCACTGTTAATCTCTTCTTCGACCAAACGTCAACTACAACTACGTGAGATTATACTTCCTCTTATTTTGCTTCTCTGCATATTAGTATTTTTCTTCCATTCGTATTGTATTAATAAAGATTCTATAATCTTACTGCGATTTCACCACAACGAAGCGTATCTGAGACCAACAATTTTGCTTCCAGTCAAAATATCACTATTATTATTACTACATCTATTGAACTACTTATTGTATACTCATATAAGCCTTTTAATTTCCTGTTTATTCCTGACTACTAACAAACATACTTCTAAAAAAAAAAAAAAAAAAAACCACAACAACAGCCGATTTCAACTTAGAAAAGTCAACTTACGAAACGACGACTACAAATTAGCAGTATTTGATACTACTAAACAAGCACAATTGGACGGTTCGATTGAAATGCAAATAGATAAATGGAATCTCCTTTACAGTGAAAAAAAAGTTACAGAGGTCAAAAGGTCGATTGAGAAATTCAGAACTAGAAGAAAGTAGTAAGCAGCTTATAAAACTATTTCTCAAGGTACAATCGAATAACAGAAGTGCTATACCAATATGCGCTATCTGAAGATGCTATTCTCTGTGATCTTATTAATGGATCCATGCCCTCCCATTCATTGTACCTGCTATTTATCAAATTCGCGGATCAAATATTGCGAACCTCAAATTAAGTAAAAAAAAATAAATTTATGTAAGAAATCAGTGCTTCAAACTGTAAATAAACACAAAATTTTTATAAATCATGTAACCAATTTCACTTTCCTCAGTTGTTTTTTCTATTTATTTGGATTATCTGGATCTAACTAAATTTGCATCCTTTCTTTTATGTTTAGAAAACCTATCCACATACTAAATTCCCTTCCGTTAATTATTACAATGTTTATATTGTAATCAGATTTTTACAATTTTTTCTGTTATTTAAATGAACATCTGCTATCTTATCAAAATGATGCTGTAAACCATTCCCATCAAAATGTGTTATTTATATATATATAAATTATATATACTCAAGATTATTAGTAAGAAGTGTTTCTACTTCCCTCTGCACGACCTGCGTCATTTCCACACTACAATCTTCTGAATATTAGCTACTTTCTCCTGAATCAAAAGGAATAACTTCCCCAAATATATGTCTAAAGACAAGACTTCTCATATCAAATTAAAACTCTTCTCCAAATCACACTTATGTATTATCAGTTATTCACTAGATTAAGTTCACTTTATAAAATTGTTTGGGCTAGACCAGTTGGTTAAGATATTTGGCATAATTTTTTCGCCCCCTTTCTATTACTGATATCGTTGTTAAAAGTGTCTTATTGAAATTCCAATTATTGAAATTATTGAATACATTGTTGTATTAATCATTTTCTCAGAATAAGGGTTTAATTATCCAAATCTGAGACGTCGAGAAGAAAAAGAAACAACCCTTTTAGTCTTTGTTACTATCAGAAAGAAATTGGCAACAAATTTATCGACCTCGGAAAGAATTGAAACTACAATCTTCCGTTCACGAAAGCCAAGGATGAATGCGTGTAAGTTATTTATAACTTGTTTATATGGGTAACAAGAAATCATGGATGGTGAAGACAGTTCGACTAGAAACATAGCAAAGAAGGATGGGAATTCCGTGTCACAGTTAAAACGGAAAGTATTTTGCGCAGAAAAAGTGCGAAAAGAGTCAAGTAATAAAGAAAAGTAAATGTCCATATACATATAAAAAGTAAGAGCACTAATGAATGGACATTTTGAAGGATTATGAAATTGAATTATATGAAACCCATTTGACAAGAATGTGCATTTAGTAATAGCCACGAAGTACATTATGCTCGAGCTTTTCTAATTAAAGAAATAGATCAGATGTATCACTATGCACAAAAGAACTATCAAGCAAAATCAAGCCAAAATGAAAACGAGGGAGATTTTAATTGAAATCGAGGAAATGGTGACGATAAGCGAGTCTCCAGAAATGAAGATAGTAGAATTCGATGGAAATCCAGAATTTTCAGGCCTATCTATACACCAATTTGAAGAGGGCATTGACAGAAGACGTCGTAGCTAACGAAGGAATTTGTACACTTCATTGGATATTTAAAGGGAAGAGTATGTTGACTTAGCAATCAATGAAGATAATTACATATTGCTATGAACATCTTGAAAGAGACGACGACAAATGAAGCAAAACAATGGAATCATACATTATATTAAAATTGGGCAAGACAAACAGTAATGTGACTGTAATATTAAGAGAACCACTAGATATTCTCTTCCAATTCAAAACATTTGGGAAGAATTTCCAAGATAAATCAGCCGTGGACTACCATT